AAATTGTACGTTTACTATATGTTTGTCTAAGAATATTTAATGGCTGAATTATTTAAACATTGTTTTCTAAACTAGTTAATATTACTAAATATAGGCCGGTTGCTAATTGATATTTATTACATGAAGTTTGGTAAATACAAACTTATTAACATAGTTACAAATCGCTGACCACTATTTGAGCAATTATCTCAAAGTCCATTTAAAATTTCCTAAATTATGAATATTTAAATCGATTTTCGACTGTTTAAATAAAAATACGTGTTTTTTTTAAGATAAAATTGAAGAATTAATGATTTTGATATCAATATAAGACAATGATAGTTTAATACTAAAGATATTTTCAAGGATTAAACTAAATTGCTTAAATAAGTAAGAGTTGAGGAATCCTATTAAGCTGTAAGCATTTATCTGTTCCAAATAATTAATGACACAACGATTTCAATTTGTTTTTTAACATTTAATTGAACCATTAATTTTATTATTCGACTGTGGCGATTATCTTGATAAATAAAAATGTCTTTTATAGCCTTGATAATGTAAATTGTAATTCGGAGGATATTAAACAATGAGTTTTTGAAGATATTAAAATTGAATGGATCACAGAAAATATTAAATTTAATAAATTTAATTAATATTTTGGTATTTTGCGGTAATATCTGGTAAGATAGGTTAACCTGACTCACAAATGCAAGTTATTTAATTAAATAGTTTACATTTATTTTTATCCTACACTTAACACAATACATTTGTATTGTATTTCTTTTTAAACATGACGTTGTTTTCTGTTAATCGTTATTCTATTTTTACTAATACATTTTTATGTAGCCATGAAAATAAGTTATTCCTAAGTCTATTTAATTAAAAAGTTAATTTATATGTACGAAATTTAATTGTTATATAGCGATAAATAAACTTCCGGATGAAACGTGAGCTAACACGGATCCCATTGACATGTTTAACATGCTCATCGACACTGTATTTTATTATATACATCCTAATTTCTAACACCGATCACATATTTGAACTCGTGTATTTGTTTTTTTTATATATTAATTTTATTAATATATTTAAGTGCTCCTTGGAATTTAATGGCGAAGAATTCGCAACTATCTAACTTATGTCAACAGAATATTAACTCATGAAGATATCGTTTCCTCAATAAGTCATTTGAAAACATATGACAATCAATGCATAACAGTCGACTAATTATAACTTGGGCAATTCAGGAAATATTTAACGTGTCATTTTTTAATGTAAAAATAATTTATGTATAAAATAAAACGTTCAGATTAATTTATCAAGTATCTTTTTGCTAAAAAAACAACTTAAATATTAATAGTAAAAAATACTTTTTATTGACGTTGTACTGCAAGAGTATATAATTGGTTTGATTTAATAGACAATATTACGTAGTTTTTACATAGTCTAAAATAGTATATAAAAATAATATATACTCATAAACACCCTTGAAATCGTTTATATTAAAGTGTTATAATTTATTAAGAAACATTTATATTCTTTAAAAGTGATGTGCGAGAAGATGCTTTATGATTATTTTTTTCATAGAAAATTCATAGTATTGATCTTTTATTATAATACTTTTTTGTAATTATAATATTTTTTATAACAAATACTGTAATATGTAAAATTTTGACAAAAATGACAAAGAACATTTAAACGAATCAAATAAATAAATATTATCTTATTTTTCAGTAAATATGATAATTAATTAATTAAATTTATATTTCTATAAATGTTAAAACAATTACATAAATTATCATAATATATTAATAACAATTTATTATCGAGTTACTACTTAATAACTTCTAAATAATATAGTATTATTTTTCTTAATTATCGATAAACTTAAAGTTGAAATCCTTTTTGTATATTATTTTATTAATACTAGATAAGATAAAATTAAATAAGACAATATTGCTTGATTAAAAATTTGCATGAAATTGCATATTTGGTTATATAATATATTTAAGGTGAAACATCGAATGTAAGTTTTATTTTAATTAAAATATGAAATAAAAATTTCATATCTGATAAACGTTATGATATAAATAAATTAATTTAAACTAAAAATCAACCAATTGTTCTTACGGACATCAAAATATTTATTAAGTTTTTTATTTGTTGACTGTCGTTGTCAGTATATTTTAACTTTTAGTAAAAAGCGAGCTTAAAAATATATTAATGAAATAGTTCTATAACTTATAAATGTTTTTAAGTTATTGGTTTGTGTTTACAGTCTATGACGTAAAGTAACTTAGTTTGATGTCGTTTGACCTTATTTTATCGGATGAATTGTTTTTATTTTTTACGATATTGTACCAGCGGGAGATTAATTGAAGAATATAGTTGAGATGATATAAAAAGGGATATTAATTATTAAGTGAAATAATTTGTTTTGATAAGTGTTTTTAACGTACTAAGTCATGACATCAGATCAATATTGTAAGAAATGAGTAAAGATAAAAATAATATATTTAAATATACAAAGTATCCGTTTATCATAAGTCTTAATAACTTACAAAATAAAAATTATTTAAAAATTATTCTTTTGCTTTTTTTTTATTTAAATATATTTATTGAATTATCAATATTTAAGTACATTTTTGTTTCATACCCTATATTTTATAAGAGTATAAACCTAATTTTTTAATGGTTTTAAATACATTTAACTTATAAAATACCTAGTTAAGATACAGTCGTCGCTATCATTTTTTGGATCAGTACTTCGGAAAGTATTTATATTTTTTACCTAGGTGATAAGAGGAGAATGTTTTTTAATAAAAATAGCCGTATCCACACTCATAGCTTATTGTCTATAGTTTAAAATGATAATTTTAAAACTTCCTAAGTAATGGTTCAAAGTCATTTTCTATTTTCTATTTTAAAGTTAACACCATTATAAAGTATGAGGAATAAACCGAGAAAGTAATAATTGATGAAAAAAACCAAATAAATATTTGTTAAATATTTTATACTTTATACGTATTTGAATAAGATAAACAAATAATTATGTATACTTGAAATAATGAAGAATCACACTCGCAATAAATTTATACAATACAATTTTGGTCTCTGAATTTTTTGATTAAACAGCATATGAACACATTTGATTTAGTGTAATATTTCAATGCAACATTGCATTGGCAACTAATAAAAATAATTTATTTTGTACATTTTTCATGTCATATCGTTTATCTACCCGATTTGCAGTACAAAATTTACGTTGAATTTTGTTCGTTATGTGAATTTCTACAGACAGTTGCGATAGTAACAAATCTAACGTATGCCCTTTAAATGATAATTGTTTTGAATACATTTTATTACCAAAATTTTTTACAGAAAAGGTTTGTGACATCTTTCGTCAACTGCACGTTGTTATTTTTATTTTTTGGTGTGTTAGTATGTGTTTATGTTTACTGTGAATAAAATTAGTTTTATATTTATTGTATATAGTTATCAACAAATCAAGTATTTTACCACTAAAATAATGTTTGGGTTAACGTACATTGTTAAAATAACGATAATTTTGATTATTTAAAAAAATTATTAATTATAATTAATTTAAATATTATTTTAAAAAAATATTAAAAAAACATCGATTATTTTAATAAAATTCCAATAAAATGTATACAACTAATAAAATAAGAGTTATTGTATTAATTTTTTTTGGAAATTGCGAATATTAAAAGTTATGCAAGTACATCTATGAAATAAGTTCTCTAATTTTCGAAGTTAAAGATACGCAATGATGTAGCTAATTGTTATTAATAATAATCGTCTTATTTGGACTGTCCCATGTTTAGATGGTATCTAAAGTTGGCCCTGGTTACATATTATGCTCCATTGTGTTTTTAAATAAAAATTAGTTTAGCCAAGAATCACCTTTGACTTCCTAACATTTGAAAAAGGAGTCGCCCTCTGTAGCATGTTAAGTTTGGGGAAAAAAAGGATGTAAAACTGATCATTTATTTATTTTATTCCTCCTTATAACACCGTATTTAGAAATAAATACACATTTAGTTTAGCTAAATATCAAGTTATCTTAATTTTTAGTAATTCTTTAAAACACTGTACTTTTGTTTTGTAAATTTATTTAAAAAAATTAACTAAAAATTGTTTGTAAAACTTCAAAAAACAAGATGGCCAAGAAATAAAATGCAATAGTAAAACTTCTCGTTAAATTTTAAATTGATTTAAAATTCATCAAGTGAATTCGACTGCCTCGTTAGTATTTGTGTTGCAATGACGATTTAATAAACATAGTAAGTACTATACTATTGTAATTAGAGTTGTGAAAAATCGTGGGCTTTGAATGTAGTGCTTATTTAAAACTTGTAAGCATTATATAATAGTAGGTACTTATGAGCATTTTAATTATTTGATGACAATTCGATTATAACTTATTATTTGTGTTTATTAGCTTGACTTATTATTGGGTGAGGTGTAAGGTGTAACTCGTGTCACACCTTGAAATTATGCCTAAAATTTTACACGATAAGTCTTAAAGAAAAGTAATATGAAATAACCTCATGATCAGATTCATTTATATTTCTGTAATAATTGTTCAGAAAATTCAGTATTGTATTTTCGCATGTAACGTAACCTTTCTTTACGCTTTTGATAAAGTTATTCTAATTCGATCTATTCAATAGAACTTTATTCAAGACTACATAAAATGATTGACATATCGTTAGTTAGACGACAAACAAAACCCGAAGATTATTCAAAGCTGACTTTAATTATTTTAACGAGTTAAAGCGTATTTTCATGCACCATAATATTTCATATGGTACATACGTATTTCATAAACTTAAGATCTATTGAAATACTTTAACATGATCAAAAGCTCAGCAGATTTTAGTTGCAATAATCAAATAATATATTATTTTACTATTAGTAATTATTTGTTCATTAATTTAGACAAAATATAAAAATGAGATTGAAACTAGTATACAATAACTTATTTTATTTTGTTTCAGCATATTAGCCTTCGTCTACTGAAAAGAATGATGATATTACTTTGGTTAGGAGTTTTATGTTTGGTTTGCGCCCCATTCTTTGGTTTTGGCCTATATTGGGATGAAGATTCACAAACGTGCGTTCGTTATAGGCTTGCTAAAAAGCCATTGGATATACTTTATGCCTACATGTATTTTAGCTATGGTAAGTCATAATACACTATGGTTCTTCTCATTTCAATAAAATGCAGTATAGTATAAGTTAGTAATAATAAATTATTAATTAATAAATTATATCTTTCTAACATAAAATGTCCATAATTAATAACAAATTATATGATCAAGTAACAAAATAATTCTAGAATCAAACTTGCGCCAACAATTAATGTTTGAAAATATTTTTAGGAGTATTTTTGTGCTTAGCCATTGTTTACACAAATTTAGCAGTGATGAAAGCTTTATGTATGAGAGACAAGAATCCTCATAATAAACAAAATGTATTGATGAGAAGAGTAAGTCGAGGCTCATCATTAACATGCAATGCGTCAACTAGAGAAGAAAGAGCATTCGGATGGCTCATGTTTTTGCTGTGTATTGCGTTCGTTATTTGTTGGGTTCCTCAAATGGTAAATTTTGTTAATACATTTTCTGTAATTTGTCTGTATTAATTAATTTAATTAGAAACATTTACAAATAAATGGCTGACATCACGTATTTAAATCATGGCTCGTATATATATATATATATATATATAATTGATTAGAATACAATTAAAAAGAAAACGTTTTTTTAAAAAGACGTCATCTCGTAATCAAAACTTAATACGCAGTAATATAGAGAATAATATATTACTGCTTCTTTTAAATGATATTAAATGCTATCTTTGTAAAAATATATTATTTCACTATTATTATACAAGCTCCTATGATTACGCAAATTATCATTTTTATCTGAAACTTTTAAATTAAAAATTTTTCTTTTTGGTTCTTTTTAAACAAATTCCGTTTGATGTGTTTAGGATATGGGCTATTGAAAAAAATTTAGACTTCTAATGAAGTCTGACACTCATATGTTTGTGTGTGTGTTTTTTTTTTTTGAAAATTACTTCTTATCGTCAATAACTATTAACATAATAAAAATAAAAGTACATATAAAGAAAAAAACTCAGAAAATTATTTAAAAATAAAAGCCACAGACGTGCTAAAATATAAAGAAGTCTTAAATATATCTAAAAACATAATGAAGTTATACTAATAATAATAGTAGTGGACAGGAATAAGTTTATGAATCTGAGATTTTTCCTGTGTCATTAAACTTGTTATTTCATAACTTTACTTGTCTTAAGTCGTCACATGTAAATATTATCGAATTAAAAAATTTTTGTAGAGATTAATTTCATTCTAGATACAATATTAGACTTCGAAAGAATTCAACAATTTTTAAGTAACTGCCACTCTAATTTGTAGGTATAAAATCTTATTGAGTAGTATTATTCAAATTTTTCATAATCTGTTTTAATTAATAAAATACTCTTTTACTTTACTTATATGATTATATAACATCCGCTTAATAACATATAACAAATAATAGTACAAAGAATATATTTTAAGAAAAATAATAATGACGAACATTTAAGTATTGTAAACGTGTAGGCAGTGGGTTAAAAATATATGGGTTCATTGCGTTCTCTCTGTTTTGTTAAAAATAAAACGGCAAATAAAAGCAGGTTTTTAAATACTTATTAGTTACCACATTTATTAAGTTTTATTGTTAAGAATATAAATACTTTGCTAACGTCGCTGATCTAACAATTGAAACATTCGGTGGATGAACGATCTTGTATGCTACTGAATGTTAAATGGACCAACTTAAAAGTTTTATGATAATAAAAATAAACTTTGACTTTTAAAATAAAGGATAATGAAATAAAAAATATTAAATTTAGTTAACAAATGTATGTATGTATATATTTTCCAATGCTGCAGTTATATTTTAGTATGAAATCTTATCAGTCATAAAAAGTGAATAGTAAGTTGTTGAAGGGAAATATTTTTGTTGGTATTTACTGACGTAAGAAGTATTTCATTGTTTTCTTACTGGAAAAATCTAATCAATCTTACAGATTTATATGTTGTTATTAATAATGTTTGGAAAAATATCTCTCGAAAATACTATTAAATTTTATTAATTTCAAATGTATAAAATATTTTGAGTTATCACAAAAAACGTGACTTTCTACATTCTTATGATTTTCATTTTAGAAATCCATTTTATTTTTTTAATCTGAACTCCGAGTACAGTGTATAGTTAAATTAAAATTTTTTAATAATTTTGTTCTAAATTATCAAATTGCTTGTTGGTTAAAATAAAATTCTTAATTTGAGATTTTTATTTTTCTAAAATTAAAAGTGTTTTAAAGCATTTGTCAATACATTATTGTGATATAATTATTTTTTTTTATAGATATCAATACCATTGGCCCGGTTGACTTCTGAAGAAAAAGCCAAACCATTTTACATTGCAGCAGACTTGTTAATTGCGCTACATTTTGCACTTGATCCTTATCTTTATGTATTACAACATTGGACATTAATTAAATCAATTTGTCCTAGACCCAAGAAAAAGACAAACGCAAACAGCAGTACTAGTGTTAGCCGTAGTAGCTCCATGAAAACCACGTACGAAATATTTTCTCATCAACCTCTTTGATGTGATGATTATTGCACGTCAAAATGTGTGTTTTATGTGATTGAACTTTTGGCATGATATAACATTTTTAGTTTAGTTTGAATCAAACTTAAAATTTTTTTTTGTACTTATAAAAAACATTTAACATTGCGAGTTATACTAGTAGACAAGCCAGTGATTTTGATTTATTACCAATAGGCCTTAACAGCCATTTATTTTTATTATTATTAACTTATTATTATTTTTTTTGTATTAATATTTAATACATTAAGAAAATATAACCAAGTATACCTAAATTAAGTTATTATTTATAGGCCCAATGGCGGGTTGGCGTGTCAGGAAATGAGATGAAATATAAATTTTAAATAAATTATTGGCCGATAAAATGTATAATTCTATGGGCTAATATTTCATCCAATCCATTGTTTAATTGTATTAGGTGATCGAGAAGAAAATCTAAAAGGCGTATAAATAAATTGTAAAGCAAAATAACATTATTTGATTTATTTTTTTGTGAATAGGAATTTGAAACATGCTTAGTCAACAAATTTCTTTAAACTTTAGTGTACAAGGTATTTATTTATCGTTGATCACTAAATTTCTCCTAAAATTACAATAATTTTGAAAATATTTTTTTGATTTTGTGTATTAGTAAGTATTTCTCGATTTTCAAGTGTTTAATATTCTTTAAGTCTATCCCTATATTTTATAAGTGTATCAACTTTATTTTATTTAAACTGCAAAATTTATATTCAACAAATTTATATAATAGAAAATGATTTTACTAAGAAAATGACTGATCGATAACAATTTTCAACCAGATGTTGTTGACTAGTCATTTTCTTAGTTGGATCATTTATTATATGAAATAGTTAAATATAGATTTTGCAATTCAAAAAATTAATCTGGTACCCTTATAAAGGATAAGGTATAGATTTAAAGGAATATTAAAACATTAAAAAATCGAGAAATATATACAAATAAACAAAATTAAAAATTTTTTTTTTAAAATTATTGAAATTTTAGGAGAAATTTAGTAAAATGATATGATATGATATATTTCTTCTAGGAATATTATGTTTAAAAGTCTTACTAAATATATTTTTAGGTTATTTTAGCTAATATGTTTATAGGCATATTAAAATTTATGAATTAAATATTTTGACATTCCAAATTCTACTAGATGTAAGGTTTTTATGTTAAAATGAATTCTAAGTCTTCCTAATTTAATTATATTTTGACAATATATGTATGAATAATATGTATCTACTAATGTTCCTTAATAAATTTTTGTATATATTTTTGTTCAATCTGATCATCACTGTACAAATTTATTAAATAAATGTATTTCATATTTAGTAAAGTGTCCATAAACGTTTAAAAATATTAGCAATAAATTTTATTTAATTCTCCTTTTATTTTCTTCAATTTTAAAAATTTTTAAGGTCATTGTAACATTTCACTATCAAGTTTTTTAAAATGAGTGTTTAATTTTCTTCGTGTAATTATTTTCAATCATATAAAAATTCCATTGTTAAATTGTATACATGACAATATTCAATACTTGTATCTATAAAACGACAAACGTCTTTAAACTTATTTAAATAACAACTAAAAGTATTTTTTGTTTAAATTTGTTGTTTATAAATATTAAACGTTTTGCAAAAACACGAAAATGTTATCTAATTACTAATAATATAAATTACAATAAGTCCCTAAATATATAATATTATACTACAATTGAGTTAGTTAAAATATTTTTCTATACATTTTTTTTTCGTAGAAGTTTTTCAGAGCTATGATTTTTTTATTATTTTTTTTTTATACTTGAAATAAGTAAATAATATTTTCTTAACATATTAAACGTATTAACTAATATTGTTAATACTAATGTGTTCGGATATAATATTATTTGGTTAGTAATATTCTTATTTTTTTTATTTGATTGTATGAATATATAATAAAAAAATGTAGATATAATTTAAATAATTATTTAAACAACGAAAAAATCTTAATTAGGGTTCAATATTTAAAATAATTATTTTTATGAATTGCTTACAAGAATAATTATTTTCTAATTAAAAGTATAATAATTTGATATTTTATAGAAATAAGCGTTGTTTAAAAGACAACTTAAACAGTTCAAATAATTATTAAATTAAACTTTTGAATTATATAATATATATATATTTTTAATTAAAAGTATAATTATATCATACAGAAATCTCAAATATAAAGAATGATTTAATTAAGGATATAATTTTAGATAACATGATTTATAAACTTGCTTTCCTTTAACGTTAAAGGCTCGACACCTCTATAAGCTTTAAAATGTAGGACAATAGGCGGTCTCATTTAAAGAGATTGGAATGTAAGTAATGACACTCTTAAAATGACATTTTTACTTAAACACTTAAAAAAGGTTTTAGAATTTAATGAAGGATTTTGAAAATAAGTTTTATTGAGTTCAACTAATTACAAAAGTCGAACTTTAATAATTGATAAATTATCGGTACGTAGGTAATAGGGTTTATTAACTATACTTAACTTTGTTACTGCATATTTTCGTTGATATTTAAAAGACGCATCAAGAGAAAAATATCATTTTGATTTTATTAAACATTTGTTGATTTAAAATATATTTTTAAACTGTTTAAATATTTTAATATTTAATAATTTTAATCTAAATCATCATTATTTTTTTATAATTATATTCTTATAAATATTATTTTATCTGATACTAAATATTTATTTTGTATGCTTTATTCGAATAATTAGTTTTTAAATTTTCATGACAGGGAATTAATATTCAGTAACAAACATGTTCATTTTTTTTATATTAATAGGTATACAGTGATAGATATTAGTGGCGTATTTAAATTTTTTTAAGTGGTATTCAATTCTGTATTTAGGGGGACAATAGCACTTTCAATAATTTTTATGGGCAATTTTTAATATTAAGCAGCGTAACCTACAAACTTTGTCAACACAGGTCAATCAAAATTATTATATTTATTTCTGGTATTATTAGTTTTTGATTAGAATATGAAATAAATAAAAGATTGTAATACGATTTTATTTTATTTGATAAGATTTTAATCGTAAATCACTTAAAAGTCAACAATAATCTAATTTTCTTGTGTTGATCTTATTTAGATGAACATTTTTAGGTAATATCGAGAATTGTTTCATTTTAGTTAGTAAAAGGAATAAGATTTATAGATTATCAATTAAAGGTTAATAACATTTCTAATATTATTAGAATAATTTAAATTGTGTTAATACAATAATACTCTATAAATTTTTTTACAGAAAAATTCTGTATAAAACAAATTTAATGAATTAATTTAACTAAAATAAATTTTAACATTTATTATTTTATCCATAAAACAAATGAATGTTGCACTCATTAATTAGGGAAAACTTGATAAAGTTTTATCTTTTTGTGAGATATCCTCAATCAAAATTATGATTTTTCATCATAATACTTATACTCATGGCTTAAGATAAAAAACAGTAATTTCCAAAAAGTATTTAATGTCAGAATAATTATAAGCATGACAAATAAGTTCACACACCTACTAAATGAAGTGCCTCTTATAATCATGCAACGAATATATAGTAAATATTTAAATAATATAGATTTAAAATGTATTGTTTTATGCCTTCAAACATATTACATTAAAAAATTTAATTGATTTTCAAAATATTTATAACTTAAGTACACATACAATACAAATTTATTTTTAGATTAGTAGAATGCCAATTATGATGTATTTCAACACTTATATCTCTTTACTCTATACGCTTGAAACTAAATGGCGAAGATATTATTTTTTTTTACTCTGAAGCAATTAGAAAATATTAATAAATCTTTTTAAGTAAATTTTAAATTACGCTATTATTAATTCAATTTTTTAATACAACTACCAATTCAAAAAATTAACTTGTGCTATAAAAAGTATTTAGCTCTACATTTTTAAACATATTTAGTATTACAAATAAAAGCTTTTAAATTGAAATGATCTACAAATAGTAGTTGATATATGTATTAGTTCAATAGAATAAGATATACAATAAAGACTGAATTACAATTACTATGCTTTTTTGAAGTAAATAGGTTTTTATAAACTTTGATATTTAATATTGTATAATATGTTTGATTGTTTTCCAATACTATGTTTTAGATTATTTTCCTGTATTTTTTGGCCAAATTGGTTATTTGAATAGCAAGTCAGACTCAAGTTTATTATGCAAGTCTCCATTCTTAATATATTTTGTTCTGTGATAATTTTTTGTTTTTGTACTTAATGGTTGTTTAAATAAAGTTATTTATTTTTTTTTAATAATGTAAATAAGTAATTTTGATTTTTATGATTTATTCAGTATTGAAATGTATTGAAGAATATTTTTAAAATCTACCAAACAATTTAAAATAAATACACAGAGGGAGATTTTAAATTTTTTTTTAATGATTTCAACAAATACATTAAGCCAATGCCGGTACATAATAACCACATTCCCTCAAAACTTTGTTGTAGGGCTCAATTGCTTTCTTTACTTTTTTGGTGGCTTCTCTTGTCAATTTCTAAAACAAAAATTACGTTTATAGTGAATTAAAAATATTAGACATTGAATCAAAGAAGAAAACTTACATGTCTGATCTTCAATCTCTTGGCACGTTTAGCTTCACGTTCTAAACGTCTTGCTTCATAATCTTTAACTACATGTTGATATTTCCATCCTACTTCATGAGATAAACGGCCTACATCACAGTATTTGCGTCCTCGTTGAAGACATAACATACGCATTGCTAATGGTACTACCATAGTCTTTTGAGATGAATAACGGGCAGGGATATCTTCATAAGCCTTTAATCGTCTTAAGGCTTGTTGTCCACGAGTTGTCTTATGAGGGATCATTCCTATAACATAAACATTTATGACTATTGACTTATATATATTTTTATGTACTTATGAATTTATATTTGTCACAATATTTCAAAAATGAAAAACATAAATATCTAAAATTTATCTGAGTATTTATTTTCTTAGGAAGTCTTCTCATAAAATTTTTATTTTTTTCATTAGTTAATTGTTCAAATAATGTAGATAAGGTTAAGTTTTATTTAAAATCATCAAAGACACCAGCTCAACTCAAGATAATATACAACAAGATATATAAAAAATTGTTATTGTATGTGTACAAAATAAGACAATTATTATTCATCAGCCTTTCATAAACTATTTTTTTCACTACTTACTTCAAATAATGTAGGTAAGGTTAATAATATTTTATAATCATTTAAGACTGTAAAAATTTTTTTAAAATAAGACTAATACACTGATAAGAATACACTATTTTAAGTAGTGCATTACTTATAGATTATTACATTAATAATATTTTGTTTAAATACAGCAATTTTTAATCAAAATAAGGAGTACTAAATAAATGTTAAAAAAATGCATTATGTATAACCATTACATTTACAATTAAGAAATGCTTTAATTATAAGTAAAATTATTTAATACGTTGTGTGCTGACATCGACAACTTTTCATAATGGTGTGTAGATACAGAAATACAAATCTGAAAATTTTCAACATTCGCATCACAGAAGAAAACTTATCTCTGATGCTGATGTCTAATGCGCATTAATAGACATATTTATGATAAAACAGATCACAAATTAAAGCAAAAAAGACCAATATTATATAAAAAAAATATTTTTATTGACATTTTTTAAAAAAAAATAAAAAAAAAAATACTGTCTATCTCAACATCTATTATATCTTCTCATTTTTTTTTTTCATATAATATCCATTAATGTTGATAAGATAATGAACTATCATAGAAGGGTAATAGAAATTCTTTTTTTTATATATTGATATTATTTAGAAAATATTGTTATAGAAAAATATCCTGTTAATAAGTATCATATAAAAAATAATATATGTACAGCATATTAGATATAAATTATTAAAACAACCAACTTTTTTCATATAAATTTGAAATAATTTCATAATAATAAATTCAATTAATGTAGGTAAGGATATTTAAGATAATCATAAAAAAGTGGCCATTTATATCAAATTGATACTTTTTAGGTAGTTTCTTTATTATAATTGACACTCGGTATTTGATTATGGACTATGTATGTTTTTTCGTCCTCTCTGGCACAAACAATAGCTTTTAAAGAGAATATTAAATATGATTAAAAATAATTATGTTAAATAGATAAAAATAATAGGTATTAACATTTATTTTAATTTTAGTAGTTTAAGTAGACAAGAAAACTGCCCGTTTACTCAGATTTAAAGATCCATTGTACGTACCTCACAGTGGCACAACTATTGGAGTAGTAAGCTCTAGCACCTTACCACTATTTTCAACAATGTATTTTATCTCATTAAAATTTTTATTTCTGCAATACATGTACTAACAGTATACTACTATTGTAGCAAATAAAATTGTTATTTTGCGCATACTGGGGCATTTCAATACTATCAATCATAATTATTAATTCATTTATACAGCTATCTATGATAATTTAGTAGATTGGAAAGTGTGAAGGTGGAACCTTCACATTTTTGTAATTTTTACATAATTTTAGCATCCTTGGGTTTTTACTCTAGTTGTGTCACTGTACTTCATAATGGAATTAAAGTAATAATTCTAACATATATTTTTGTAAAAATTAGAAATGAAGAATCTCAGTAAAAAATTATGTTTTGTAAATTAAATGTAAATTTTTTTAACATAACTCAAAATCTCTTATAAAAATGAATAGGGTTTCAAGTAACATAAAATTCATATATACGAGTAAAGAATGGTTCGCCAAACATACTATTTCTAAAAAATTCTTTTACTAAATTTATACTACACATTTCTATTATATTGGTAAAAAAATATTAGTTATTTAACTTAAAAAGTTTTAAATATAGTAAGTATAATATATTTGTATTCAATTATTACAAATATGTATCTTATTTAAAACTTGTAAGCTCATAAACAATTCTTAAATTATTAAAAATTTTAAGTTAAATAATGAAAGGTAAAAATCTATGAAAGTAATTATTTTTAGTCACCCTTGATTTTTTTTAATTCTAAAAATGAACAAAAGAAATTAAAACAAACCACGGACAGTTCTTCTGAAAATACATCTGGGAGCACGATGATGGAATGGTCCACGTGCAGGGTTGACATTACATCTCTTACGCAAAAAAGACAAATATTTGATTTTATTTCTATAAAAATAAAATAAGATATATTAATGTACAGATATAAATTATGTAAAATTGTTGGTTTTAAAATATTTTAAATTTTACCTGTAAAAACTTCCTGCAATATTTATTTTGTCACAATTAAAAACAACAACTTTATTTCCTTGAAGGATAGCTTTAGCAACATATGAAGCCAATTTTCCAAGCAAATGTTCTTTAGCGTCAACATAGATGCGCTGAAATCAAAATAATATATCATTTTTAACATGTATTAACACATCTTAAGATGAAAAAAAGAAATTATACATCTTTAATATAATAATATATTATTTTGATTAAATATCATACAGATTTAATATACTTAACAAAGACAGTGCCACTATTAATGTAACAATATTATAAATATTATATTAACATTAGTATATATATGTGCTAATTTAAAAACTACAAGCATTTAACTAAATTTATAAAATAATGTTTGAAGATAACTCCTCTAACCTTATTTTCAATTTTGCTGGGTTAATATAAAACAATGAACATAAAATATGTATTGAAGGGTTAATTGAGGACAACACTAATCGTGTCAAATATTTTAATAAGGAACATCATTGTTATGTAATAACAGACAAGTATAAAGTTTATTTTAGAATAGAATTAAACACTTTAAATTCAACAATTTGATGAATAGTAAGCAATAGTAGGTTAAAAGTTTAGCATAAGAAAAACATTTAAGATAACCTCAAAAGAAGACAATTTTAAATTTTCAAAATTATTAAAGTTTTTTAAGTTATAATAGTTTCTTTAATAAAATGTAAAATATACCTTATTGAATAATCCATGTTTAGGAGCCATTATGTCGGGACAGGCAGTATAGAAAATATATTAATTAACAAAACCTAACTGAAATGCGAGAAGATAGACATCCACGACGAAAACACACGGCAAAGAAACGGTATGGTATCTTCATCCACAGTGATGTGTTATGTTGGAGGGAGAGAGCTATGGAGTAATAAAACTATAAACAAAAATCATGGAAGAATAAACAACTACCTTATGAGATAACGGTGTACATTTTAAAATGAATATCATTTGACATTTGTTATGAATGTTTTTGTTAATTTATAAATTTTCCCTCTTTAATTAGAATCGTATTAAATGTATTTATGCATTACAAATATATTATGTACAAAAACTTGCATAATGCAAAATTATGTTAGTAGCATGGTACAATTTGTATTATTTCTCGTGTTATTGTAAATAAATTTAAAGCTTAATAAAAATAATTTATTTTTTCATAACAGTTCAAGCAAAAAGAGATATACGCAACACGTGCAATTATGGAGGGCTAGAGACAATTTAACGTTCCTAGAATTAACTTTTTCAAAAATTTATACATTTATTTTAATTGTAATTAAAAATATTTTTAAAAAGGGGAAAAATTAATTTAGCATCTCTACAAATTTCAGTCAAAAATTTGATCATTGCAAGAATGTTGAGTGAAGGAGTCATGCCCCTCGAGTCTTCGTCATAAATACGTAATGTCAGCTTTAGATATGATTGACATGAGTGATGGCAAGGGGTTCAGCAAGAAAACTGCGATGTTCCATGAGTGTTAATAATAAGAGTCTTTTACTTTTTTTTTGCTTGATACTTAAAATAAAACTTTATACATTTTATTTTACAGGGCTAATGCCAAAAAATGTTTGCATGAAAAAGTCTAAGGCCAGCACTATAAATACGGCACTGCATTTTAGTAACACTATAAGTGATATTAGCACTTCAGTGAGTGGAATACTTGATACTAGTGACGTACTATCAATTATTTAATAAATTACATTTATGTATAAGAAAATTTTTTACCTCTCTTTCCTAATGTATATCATGTAATTATTTTCAATATTAGGTTGGTTTATACTCTTAGTATATCTGTACTTTAAACTAACATTTTATTCTTTTAGCTTTACTCATTAATAAACATGGCGAAAATAGTACTTGAGAATAAGTGGTATAATTTCTACAGAATAAAAATATTTTCTTTCTGTGCTTTATATTATCTTATGTCTTAAATGATTCAATTTAATGAGATACGTAAACAATTATTGTGTAACAATACGAGTATAAAAAATAATACAAATTTAAAATTTACTTTAAGTCATTTCCCTCTGTTTACGTCAGTGCTTATTTATTTCAATATAAACAACAAGATCAATAACGAAAGAATAATTTTTGAGGAAAGAGAGATGAAGCCTGGTAATAACAGCTCAATTGTCTACTACCTAATGAAAAATAGCAGTCATATATCTCTCTGGGAAAAGATATATGCTCCATTTCAGAAAATCTTTTACAAAAGTGACCAGAGATAAATTTTAGTATATTAAAATGTTGTAATTTTAAAAAATCTATGAATAGTATTTAGATTTTACAATACAAATTATTTCCAGCGATTTTATTTTCTAATTTTTAAATAAAATTTTGTTTGAATAGGCAGTTTTTTTTTAATAAGTATTTGTAAGTTATTTCACATATAAAATGCCAGATTACTTTCAATAACTAAGTTTCAACAAAACTTATTTATTTTTAATAACTTTTTTTGACATATTTATTGAACCGTATTAAAATTTAACACGGATCTATAAATACGCTAAACAAACAAAGGTTAAATTGTTTTTATTTAATAAGAATAATATAACTTTCCTTAACAAATTGCAATTAATAATTTTAGAGATTACTACAATCGATATAAGTAAAAGTTTTACCAGAAAATGGTAATAAATCATTGTAATTATAATCACACGTGTATACGCATCAACTAAAGGAACACCAACGTAATGAAATAAACTTAGACAATGCGTCAGAATTATTCAAAGTTGATGAAGCTACCGAATGTAGACAACTAAACTCGCTAAAATATAATTAAGAAAACTTAGAATTCAAGAACTATCGTTTAATTATTAAGTCGGAACATTTTCGCGTGTGGTATATCAAAGAAGTTAGTATGAATAAGTGTCCTGTACAATATACAGAACACTTAATTAATTAATAACAGATATTATCTGTTTTTAAATTTATCAAGTTCCTAAAAATTGAATTATTTAAAGTTTCAGCTTAATTTTACTGTTATAAAATTATATCAAGTACAAGTTAACTTGAAATGTATTTTGTACATATATCAAAAAACAATTAATAATAACAAATTTATAAATGAAAAAAAATCAAATAATTTTTGAAAATGGTTAATATTTTTAACCATTATATAAAATGTAAGAACACAGTATTATCATCAAATTAAGGATTCAGTTATTATGTTATTTTTAATTTTACATTCGAAGTTAATTAATAAAAATCCAAAACATATAAAACGGATCATTTTAATTTTGATTAATACTAATTACGAAAACTAGCCATAATAATTTTATACAAAACTAAATGATGCGATGAATCACATTTATTACCAAAAACAACAACTGTAAAAAAAAGTGTATTAGTTTTAACATAAATAAACACAACTTTAATTTAATCTATATGAATACTCTGCTTATCTAAAATAATACTTATAGAACACGTTACAACAAAGCTAAATTTGCATTTTTAGACGAATAACATAATAGGATGTTTCTACATTTTTGTTCCCAAAGAATAATTTATTCATTCAAAACATTTTCTCTCCGTAATATTGAGCTATGTTAGCTTTGATGCGAACCTGAGAATTTAACTTTCTAATGCTATAACTTATTGAAAAGTGTATGGATAATTACAATTTTTTTATGAGAAATAATATTTATATCCCTCTTTGATTCGACATACTTTTTTTTTTAATAACACCATTTCCTTTATATATTATATATAAATACATTTATTCATATATTACACTTATAAATCATAAAACTTGTAATCAGGATATAAATATGGAAATATTTATATCCTGTAGCCTATGGGATAACCCACCAATTTTTTAAAATTAAACAGTATCTACAGATTTGCATAGAAGTGTTTTTTATTTTAATCATTGTCAGATATCATTATACTTGACCCAACTATGCCACGTCACCGCTGTACCGCGACCTTCCTGTGCTGGTTTTTTTATATTAATAACGTCGGATAAAGGTCTACAGAATGTGTTTAATATTAATAACTCCAAATTATATATTGATGATCTAATTAAATTTATAGACTTTGACTGTGAACTAAGAAATAATTTTTTGAAAAATTATAAAACCATGGTTTATATTTTTTTAATTTTTTTATATTTAAAAAAAGTTACATGTCTGATAGTAACTTTTATCATTAAACATTTATTAATTTTTCAATTTACATGTTAAACAGGGCTTAAAGTGACAGAGAACATAAAGGAGAATATTATCACTATATCATTTTGATAGCACTACGTATCCATACTTTAACTACTTATATTTCAAGTAAATCTCAGAGAGGGCGCATTTTATCCATCTTGAGTGATAAGGGACTGAGTTCCTTAGCATCTCCTCACTTAAAGACATATGTTTAAATATTTAAAATTATAAATTAAATGACAAATGTAATAATACTCATATTTTTAGTTTTTTGTCACTTTAATATCCTAAAAATAATAACAATATTCATCTATAAATCAGCATATAATAATTAGTATAATATCCAGTAGAGATTAATTTGGTCAAATAGGTAACGCAACATCATTGCAAATGTCATAGTTGAATTCATTTAAACTTTAGCCTGAAAATTAATAATTTATCATCAAAAAATAATAATAAAAAAAAATGCTTGATTTATTAGAGCAGTATTTAAATACTTAAAGAGTATTAAAATTTAATTATGTAATACAAAATTTTTTTACGCAAGTTAACTAATCGTCTTGTCATGTACAAAAATTAACTTAGGTAAATTGCCAAAGATTGTGTTAGAATGATACGGGATATTAACACATAAATAATTTTAGAAAGAAAAACAATTTACATCAAGGCGCTCGATTTTCAAAATAATTAAACATTTGTAATACTTAATACATGAAATGTTTCTCTCCTGTACATTTTTTTTTGTTGGTTTAGTAAGTTATTAAAAATTGTTAAGTGAAATGGTAACTGTACACGTAATTTTTAGATAAATGCATTAATTTTTATATCAAACTTACGTTTAATATGATATCAATACATTAAAGGGCCAGAACTCTTGAATCTTAAAAAAAATCTGCTAAATATTCTAGAAAAAATAACTTTTGTTCAAATAAATTTACCCCACTTTACCTCATTTATGCTAATTTTTTTTTATTCAATTTTATTTCATGGGAATAATTTTTCATGATTTGCATAATAATTTTTTGGTTGTTTTAAAAATCCTATTGGAATATCTCTTAAATAAAAGAGTTTACTTAAAAAAATTGTCCAGTTAAATATATAGTTATTAATGTAAGATATAAAAGTTTAATTCTTTCGAGCAACAAGTAGATTAATTTTTAGATTTTATTGTAGCTTGGTAATTATACACAGGAATACCTGCATGAATTAAAGTTTAAATATATAATTTTGTTTTGTTTTATCCATATTTAAGACTTGTTTGAATAATGTAATTAATTATTTTAATTACTTCTCATATGTCAAAAAATAATTTAAATACATTTTAAGTAATTTTTCTTTAGTTATGAGTATAGTAAAATAAAGTAATTTATTATTTATAACTTAATTTTTAATTTTTTTATATTTTTATTAAAAATATGGGATTATTTAATACTTCATATCATTTTAGTTAGTTTATAGTCAGGACAGGCGCTAAAAATCGCAAGACTTGGTGCGAAATAATTCTGCGAGGTTCTTAATATCTTTTATTAGTAAAAAAAACTTTTGTTGTGGTCATTATTTGTAAGACACCATGATTTAATTTTCGTACATTTTTAAGGAATGCCGTTGACAGGAGTAGTATCGTCTAAACTTGTTGGTGAATCTTTTTCATTTGTGTATTTGGTCCGATTGACTCTAGACTGCTGTAAGTGCATTTTTTCTGGGTCTGTTTGTCGAGTTTCTTCCCTTTCCAACATAAATAGAACTCCAAAGTTTAACTGTCTTATGTCATAATAAATTGATAGTGTAAGCATCACGCAAACAAGACCTATGATTAGGTAACCTGGTGGAAAAATGCATAATAAAAAACAATTAAATATAACTTCAAACATTTTTTAAGTATAAATACCAGTTATCATCAGTTTATAAAGGGGTCTATATTTTTGATCAGGAGCATCGCCTGGAATGTAATCTCCCAAGCCAATAGTTGTAAGAGATATGAAACAGTAGTACAAAGAGTCCATGTAGTTCCATTCTGGTTCCACATATGTAAATATCGCTGCTGGTAACAAAAGGAAGAGAAATATTAAAGTGCCTAGTATTGTACCAAAATGAAATAGTCTGATAGTAAATGGCGGATATAAATGACCGAGACGGCTGTTGAGAAAGTGCAAATATTTTGTGGTGGGTATCATCAATCGATCAACTAACGCTGTCAATAATACTAAGGTCAAAGGTATGCCAAATAATGCGTACATCATGCAAAATAATTTTCCTTCCTGTGACAATGGAGTAACATGTCCATAACCTAAAGTAAATATTTCAAATAATATGAAATACATTATTATATTTTATGTTTAAAAAAATGATTTATCACATTTACCTATAGTTGTAATAACGGTACAAGCAAAGAACAACGATTGTCCAAAACTCCAATTTGGTTCTCCTGAAACATTATTAGCCGCAGAAACACCTCTGTTACTTGCAGCTAATACTTCTTTTATAAATATTTCCATTGATTCATCTAAAAATTCAAAACAACACTAGGTTAAAAGTGAAGTGCAGATTTTATAATTTAATAACTGTAGAAAAAGTGAAACTTTTTTTAAACATAAAAGTTAAAACTACAAAATTTAATTAACTTGTTTAATTAATATGATTTTATACACTAAGCAATATTAGTTACTTTATTAAATTTTTCAATTCATCCCATAAATTCATTGAGTATAATATTTACCTGAATATATGAATTTTCATTTGGCAAAGTCAGTTTAAAAGAGAAGTTACTTTCTGCCATACTGACTATTATTTTAATTGAATTATTGTTAAAAAATAATTAAAATACTATTCGTTGATCATTAAAAACTGAAAAATGCCCCAGAAAATATTTATAGTTTTGGTATAATAAAACTACAAATGCTTGGTATTTATAGGAATCTATAGAGTACCGTACATTAAAATGATGCTTTTAGTATGTTTTAAGTTCAAAAGTGTAGGTAAAACATTAATAAATTTTAGTACATGACTCTTAGCTATAATAAATAGTTTCCTTGTTAGCTACGTTTTTGATGTATTTTTACTTTATTTAGAATAAATTTATTCACTGGTCATTTACATACCCTATTAAACAACACAGATAAGACTTCCATAACGATTCACTCACGCTAACTCAACTACAAAATTAATTGAGAGAAGTTTACGTACACGTGTTTGTAGCTTAATCAAAAGTACTAAACCCGATGCCTTTAATGAAAGTATTCCATTATTTATACTTAGTCACGATAACTATACCAGGAAAACATTGGCCTCTTACTTAATTAACACATAGACAATTTTAAAGCGACTGCATTAATTTTATGTTACGTTTTAAAATAGAAAATTCGTTAATTACAATAAATAGTAAAAACAATTGTGTTGAATAATTTTTAAACTTAAAAAAAAAGAAAAGCTAAGTTAGAAATATTCTGCGAATATTTAATATTTTAAACAACAATTTTAACTAATAATTTAAAAAGTTTTTTATTTATTCAAATTTAGTTTTCAAATAAATAATCTGAGATTTTGCTTGTTCAAAATTAGTGACATTTATTTTTAAAATTACTAAAATATATTTGTATTATTAATGAAAATAATCAATGAGAATTCTATTAATTTTTAATTAATAGAATAAGTAGTACATATTTACTATTTGAAATAAAATAAAATTTGTTGGTATAAAAATACTCTAGTTAATAAAATTGACAACAAACAATTACGTTAGTGATAGAATATGTTAATATGCATAATAACAACTTTCAGTTTGATTTAGTACTTGAAGTGAATATTCATACAATCAAAATTTCCGTTTACATTTATGAAATGTTATCAAGACAAATGATGCTATTTTGTTCTAATTCAGTGTAAGTATTACAATATACTGTTAAGTAATATTAATCTGAACAACTAAGATAATTATTTATAGTCAAAAAGTAATTCATTTATCGTTATTCAAATAATTAAAATGTACAATTTGTTGTTAAATTTAATAATTATAATTATAATTCATTACTTGATATTTGAAGTAAAAACTATTTGATAATAAACATATTGAACATGGATAGTGGAGCGGGAAAAGGCGGAAGAGGTGGTGGATATATAAGACAGTTAGGTGGAAAGATAAGAGAACGCGGAGCAGCTTTAGAAGAAGAATATTTTCGTAAAGAGGTATTGCATTTAGCAACACGGACGTGCATTTTTAATTGATAAAACTTTTAATTATTACAATTTCATTTTTAAAGAGAGAAGTGCAATTACGAAAATTGAAAGAAGAGTTGTCTAAGAAAAAAGAAAAATGCAACGCAAAAGACGACAATAAAAAAGATTAAACTAATTTTTTATGAATTGTGTCTACTTAAATAATCATTCTTATGTAATATTGATGTATTCTGCTTTAGTTATGTAAATTATTCTATTAAATATATAGCTTAAAATATAATCACTAATATATTTTTTATATTTTTTCGCATGTTTGGTGTATTTATTCCGAAATTAAAAACAAAGAATCTAGATATGCATTAAACATTGATTTTTTTATTTCTTTCACGTTATGTATAACATGAAACATGTATTAAAATACATAAAAAATCTTATTGTCAAATTAATTATAGATGTGCGCTCTTTGAATTGTGTTACAATTTCGATTTTTTGAAATGTTTATTATAGCACAAAATTAAACCACCTTAAAAGAAAATCTCAAATTTGTTATTCATTTTTAAAAACATTTATTTAACTGCTTAAAAGTATAAAATATCTTATAATATACATTAAATTCTTGAGATTTTGAAAATATATTAAAAAAATACTTTAAAAAGCAATTTTGGTAAAATTCTGGTTAGTTGTTTTTATTTTTATTATAAACTCTATTTATTTAATTAAAATCTTTTGAAGTAAACATTATTGACCTTTTTATTGAAATTTATTAAATTTTATGCAGTATTATTTTTTATTTACTTTACTAATTAAACTAATTATTGAATAGACACTAGAATTATTCCCTTTAGCGACCATTGGTTGGTTAAAAATGTTGTGAGGTGTGTTTTCCAAAAAAATTATACATATTATTAATTACAATTTATTAGAGTATTTTAATGATAATTTTCGTATTATGTTAATCAAGTATAGAATACTATTAGCTGTAATTGTTAATTTTAAAACTCAATAAGTTTAAACTTATTAAACTCGACGATAAGTTATTGGAAGGAGACCAAGTATAAACTTTGGACAACTCAAAAGTTTCCCTCTAGAATAATATTTCGTGACTTTTACATTATAATTATAAACTATTGATAAACAGAACTTATAGAAATTTATTAATTCATCTATTAACTATGAAATATTCATTTAAGACTTGATTTTATATTATTTAATTACGGTTTTAAATTGTTTTAGTATTAAATCTTTTAGTTGAAAAATTAAATGCAAATACATAAAGAAAAAACCCCTGTTTAGTTAGAGTATAAATAAATCTAATTACATTTAAGTTCTATCGAAATTTGATTATTAATTTAATAAATATTGAAATTATATTCCTAGCAAATTATATGTACAATTTAAGAACTTCTAAAAATTTAAATAAGTAATTTTAATTCTGATTCTTACGTCGGCCAACTAAGCTCAATTTTTATCAGTATATGTATATATAAAATGGAATAAATAGTACTCAAAATAAATCATGTCTTCACAGACAAAAACAACTAATAGGTTTGTATCGTCGTATAGTAGATAAAGTGAATTTTCGATACGGTAATACTTCAATATTTCAACACGCTGAGCCTTTGAGTTTATAGGTCGATTTGTACTCTGACAGGTTTTTGTGATTGTTTTTCCCATGTACCTTAAGACGTCTAGTATCGCTGTAAAAGAGAAAATGATTGAAAGTTTGCTTACCAATTTACATATTGAGATTGTTGTAGGAAAAAGTCAAATATGTTAAAACATTGTTCAGAGTATAAACAAAATAATTAAATTAAAACAGTCAGGAAAACTCATTAATTCAATCCGTGTTTTTCCAATAATTTATGTAGACAACTCATTTAATTAAAAAATAATAAGATAAAATTTAAAATGTTTCTTTTTATTTACGTCCATTGAAGTAAGTATCTACACAAATAAATGCATAAAAATAATTTTTGTTCAGTAATATTCTTAGATTTTCAAATAATATGTAAAAAAATAATTTACTACCACATTTATTATAAATCAAAGAGGTAATTACAGTAGAAGTAACGACTGATTTCTTCAGTAGGATTGTCCACTTTTACCGAATTCCTAGATAAAGTAAATATTTTAACCAATATCAATTTATTTCAAAAAAATGTATCTTTTTGAAAAATTAAAAATTCCTAAATGTCTTTTTTTAATCTTTTACGCATAAGAAACTCACTTACACATTGTTTATTAATATAGTTACTTGGGTATTATTTTCTTTATAAATATAAAACATAAAATATTTCTCAGAATGCTTTAACGAATATAATTAAGAGATACCATCATAACGTTTTTGTTTTAAATGACAGATCACTAGATATTCAGCCAATTGTAACTTTTTCACTTTTTCTTAAGTACTTTACGAAAACCGATTTTGTTAACTAAAAATTTATAACTAGAAATACAGTTGATCAATATCACGAAGATATTCAATTATCATCGTAATATTGGTCAACTAATAAATAAGGAAACGGGTTTCTATTGTTTTCATTGTTTGTAACAATTGATCTATTTCCTTACTTACTGAACACTTTGTGTAATACAAAAAAATATATAGATACTTTTGAGTACTCGAAATGTAATTGTATGAATTATTTTAGAATATCAAGTATTTTTCTAACAATATTTTATAAAACTGCTCAATTTTCGAAAAACGATAATTGTTTGTTCTTATTTCACACGACTGCTAAGTAAATGGTGTAGTTATTACGCTGTACTTTTATAAAATTAATTTATGAGATTTTGATTTTGAGATAATATCATTACTCATTGTGTCCTGGGTGTTCGTTTATCTTGAGTTTTTCCTATATAAATCATATATACTGTACATCTCTGAATATTCATTTATACAAAATAATTAAATGAATTTAATGTATTATCCATTTTAAAAAAACGTAATTCAATATTTTGTAATTTTTTTCAAGAAAAGCGTATTCACAATAAAATACAGAGTTCAGTAAGTGAGGAAACAGGTCAATCGTTGCAAATAACGAGAACCATAGAAACTGGTTTACTTATTTACTGAACACTCTATATATTTAGTGTTTTAAAATAAAAAATCTCTATTTCTCTTCAAACAACGGAGTATTTAAAACTTTATTCTCAATATAAATTACACAAAAGTGTGGTTTTCCTTTTTTCCAATAGAATATTTTTGAAAAATCTTAATTAATGAAATATCTTTCCTTGAGGATGCTATCCTCGCTTATTCTAAAATTTTCAATACGTTCTGTAAGAAATATGCGTATTCTTCTACTTGAAACGTAAAAACATTAGTAGAATTTAAATATAAATTGAAAAGTTTAAATGAATTGTCTTGATGATTTACATAGATTTTTTTGACGTTAAGTACAACATTTTACTGTGTCATCTTCAATGTTTCAAGGTAAAATAAATGCCTGATTTTTATATATTTTTGAATCTAATAGTTAAGATGAAATTTTAAAAAAATTAGATAATTTTTTTTTACTAGAAATATTGTTTTATATAATATATAAAACAAATTACACTATAGTTTGTTTCAAAAAAAGTTGATAAGTTTTTAGTATTACTAATAATTATAAAAAATATATAGAAAATAACTAATAAAATAAATTAATGAATCAATTTTGCATTTTCAATTCATCATTAATTGTGAAATCACAATTAATTATTTGGATTCTTGGTTTAATAAGAACATTTAACAGTTTTTTTCTGATTATTCCGCATTAATAATTTTCGTATGATCAAAAATATAAATATAAATGCTCAACTTTATTTTTTGTAATTTATACAACATTATACTATTTTGATTTGTGTAAAATTGAGTTTATTAGATTAATATACTATTATTTTGATGAAGAAGAATGAAATTAACTATAAAAACGCAGTGAAATTACCCTTTTAGTCGGTCGTAAAAGAGTTATTTGATAATATTTTAAGTTATATTTTAATTAATATTTCCATATAAATAAGAACAAAAGAAATTTAGGGCACCATATTTTAATCTGGCGGAGAATAGCTGTTCAAATAACAATCTCAATTCGTTACAAAATATAACATCTCGTAAAAAAATATTAGTTTTCCCTTTTTCACAACCTTAATTTAAACTAGAAATGGAAGCAATAAAGATGATTATTAGCAATTGAGAAGCGAATCAGCTTGTGTTATTAAGAACATATTGTACCAGACTAGGTATATTACTCTAAAATGGAAATTTATTTCGACCAATTTTGCGTCATTCAATTCATACAATTTATATATGTTGTTCTTGTATTACACATAGCTGTGTTGTAAAATTTGAATCGTTGACGAAGTATTTCCCACATGGTTTATCAATATAAGAGTATAAAATACAAATGAATAAGACACTATATTACGAGTATTCGAATGAAATGAAATCTAATACGGGTACTTTAAATGTCCATTTTGAAATATTTGCTTTCACATTTGTTCAATTATTGATTCTTCTTCTTTTTTATCTATAGATTTTGGTTTTTTGTAAATCGAAAACATGCGAGATATTTTAGTATATGTATAGTAAAAATTGTAATTTATCATTCGTTTCTTGATATATTTTGGAATAATAATTTTTTATTCAGCTTTTATTAGTTATAAATGTATCTCTATTTATTTATCGTTAAGAATTTTTGGTTCATATTTTGGACTATAATTTCGAAATATATGAATATTTTTATGTTCTGATGGAATGAGAAGCGTGACTAAGAAAAACAACTATAAAAAAGTTTGTAAACCATGTCTCACCTTCATGATTTACTTCAAAGTGTTAATGATTTTTAAAATGCTGGTTCAAAAATTGTTTTTGGTCAGTCATTTTTTTTTTTTATCATTTTCTATCTTATTAACTAGTTGAATATATATGTTGATATTAAAAAAAATTATTTGATATCCTTTTAAAGTAAGAGATAAACCAAAAATGAACTTAATAATAAATAAATTTAGATGTTTATGAAAAGGCGCAACTAGGGGATACTATGAGAGTACAGCATGTCCTAACTCAAAATTAATATCCCCAATAATATTAGAACGCATTTCTTGATTTTGCCGTACAAATATTGATATAATTTGTTTTTATTTCATTGTTGTCAGAATTATAGTTTTAGAATAATCCAAAATTCGTGCTATGCCTATTAATTATAGTCATCTATTTATAAATAACAATTATGATTCTACAACAATGATTGTTGATCGTAAATTTAGTTTTCATTTATCATTCCTATTTTAGCGATAGTAACGTGAACGGATGTGGAGAACG